GTGTGTGTGTGTGTGGGCGTGTGTTTTGTTGTGTGCTGCTGCATTTTAGCTGACCTTCCACTGGGCGCACATCAAAGCTGCAGCTGGCACATTTGCTGCACAGTTTCTCCACGTAACAATTTTTCGCTATTTTTCAGCCGCCATTTTTCATTTGTCTCCGTGTATGTGTGTGTGTGTGGGCACCTAAAAACAGTCGACCGTGTGGCGCTCGCCTGGTTTTTATGGCCAGCCTGGCCCCAACTAACCAGCGAACCACCCAACCACATGCACAGCCAGGCTCGGCTGGCCCATAACCTTTTCGGCCATAAAGCGTGTCCTTTGGACCACATGTGTGTGTGTGTGTGTGTGTGTTGTAGTGTCGGGGAGCGTGTGTGTGTGTGGAGGGGGCATAAATTAGCACAATCAACGTATTGTTTTCTGCCTGTGCCACGCCTCCGACAGCAGCCGCAGCAACTGGATGTGGAGGGGGGAGCTAGAACCCTGAATGTGGTGGTAGAAACGGGAGGTGGTTGGTGGGCAGCCTGCTGGAGCTGGTGGTGGGGGGTGGTGGGGCAGCTGCCGCAGCGTGCAGTCAATAACATGAAAATGTTATAAATAACGAAAATACGAGCTGAGCAGACACACACACACACACACGCACAGACATAGACACATGCACGCAGCAGATGTATCTGTATCTAGAAGTGTGTATCTGTATCTGAGTCCTGCTTGAGTTTCATATTTGTGCGTCTTGATAATTTGCGCAAAAGTCCTATTAATATGTTAATTCTTAATTGTCCTACTTTGCCAGTGCACACACACAGATACACGCACACACAGTTAGGCGCATATTAATAGCCGCAGGATAGTTTTTGCCAGGGAGGCAGGGAGGCAGCTCGTAAATAAATCTTAAGCTGCGCGGTTTACAAATCGACGCACTTCAATTTATTTATTGTCCCTGCGTGTGTGTGTTGGCTGAGAACTGGGGGGCGGGGTTAGCTGAATTAATTACACATATGCGATGACATCACAAACATTTTTGTCGGTTTTCGAAACGCCTTTCCACAGATTTTGGCGACCAATTTCAGCGCAGCTGGTCAGCTGAGGTCCTCAAAGGAGCAGAGGCGGCGGGTATAGCTCTCTCTCTCTCTCTTTCTCTCTCTCTTGCTGTCGCTTCCCCCTCCCTCTCCCTCTCTGGGCGAATTGTTAGCGCATTGGTTCTGGCTGCTTAAATTGTTGGCTGCGCTTTTGTGTATTGAACCCTTTTGGCCGTGTCCTTTTTGCCCTTTTGTGCAGATAATTCAATTTATGAGCTGACTTTATGAAATATGCGCCAAATACACGTGAACTCTCTCTCACACACACGCACACGCACACAGAGCTACCTTCTGTTGACACTTGTCAGGCGACTGTCAGCGTCTGTCTGACATTTGACAGTTTCGGGCACTTTGAACACCCTTTCGAAATACACCTTTTGGCCAGCAGCTGCTGCTGCCCCCGTACCCAGCCCTGTCGCTGCCTGCTGCTGCTGCTGCTGCTACTGCAACTCTCTCTTTCTCTCTTATTCTGTCTCAGTCGCTCTCGCTGGCACTCTTTAGCCTTTGCGTCATATTGCAGCAGACTTTTTGGAGCTGTCAATAAGTTTTTGTATATTATTTATATTTACTAAGTTTTTGCCAGACGCGCGCGTTAATCTCTCAGTACACACACGCACACGCACACACATCTAATCTAATCGCTTAGTTAAATAGCTGGCTACGCCCTCGCCCCCGCCACGTTAACCCTAGTCACACACACACACACACGCACACGCACTCTCACACTCTCACTCTCACTCTCTTGCACTCTTATTCGACCACATTCCGCTGCGGGGCAACGCCTACAAAATAAAACGCAGGTAAAAAGTCTGTTTTACCTGCCCGCTAGCTGTCCACTGGCCAATCGCGCAGCAGCAGCAGCCGCTACCAGCAACAGCAGCAACAACTTGCAACAACACATGTTTAATTCATGGAGTCAGACAGGCGGCTAATTGCGTCCTGCGTCGATTTCACGCCAATGATCGCCCAATCAATAAATAAAATACCCAACAGAAGAAAAAAAATAAGTAAAAAAGTCAATAGGGCAACGAGGGGAAAGCGACAAAAAAATATAAGCGAAAACATATTTTTTTTATTGTTATTGAAACAGAAACCAAAACGCCCAAACAATCAAAAAAATTACCCAAAAAAAAAGAGATATATATGTGTGTAATAATAATATGAGATAAATAAAAGCATGTGTGTGAGGAGCTTGTTGTCACCCCGTAGCAGGACAATCAATTGATAAAAAAATATATAAAAAAAACAGCAAACGAGCGGGCGGACGGGCCGGGGAAGGGGCGGTCGGACGGGCGGACGGGCGGTTGGTCGCACGCAAAAAACGGACAAAGGACGTGGCCCAAAAAAATATATAAGAAAAGTTGAGCAACGCTTCGGGGCGCATTAGTTGTTGTGTGTGTGTGTGTGTGTGTGTGTGCGGGCAACCGCAAATTGTTAAAACTGCCCAAAACAACAACAGCAACAACAAGAACAACAACAACAAACTTGACAAGTGGCAGCCGACAGCGCGTCAATAATTTTTTTTTTTGCTAGCTGACTTTTTTTTTATGGCTGTTACGACAGCTAATTGACAAAGTCAGCGCAGAAAAGGGCGGGGGGCGTGTACTGGGGGAGGATGTGTCATTGAGCAGCGGGCGGGAGGTGGGGCCAGTTACTTAGTGTGTGTAATAAAAGATGAGCAATTAGCTTAGAGGCCAAGGAACTGGCCAAAACAGAGAAGAAACAAATACAAATAAAAATATATACATGTACAAAATATACTAAAGAAACGTAAAACTAAATATAATTAGAAATATTAAAGCAAACAATTTCCATAGATATAATTAAAAAATAAAAAATTTAGTTAAGAAAAGAAAGTAAGGTTCTACATCTAAGGCCCAAAGGCCAAAGCATTCGCAGAACTTAAGCAGAAAAAAGCGTCCAAAATTTAATAGACAATTCAAAAACTGTTTTTCATCAGAAAAAATGATAAACATATGCACAACACTCTTGACAAATAATTTAAAAAATAAAAACACAAAATTAGAGTACAAAATTTCACAAATAAACTGAAAAAAAAATATGCCCATAAATTTATTTACTCCAAAAAGAAACTTCAATAATAAAATGCCAAAAAAACAATGCACGCACAACTTTTGATTAGGCCTCGGTTGATTGATCAATCAAAATTAGGTCATTTTTGATTGACCAAAATGTGACGGACGGAGGGGCGGGCGGCCCGAAAAGAGAAAACTTTGGCAATTTGATAACATTTCAATCAAGGTTTTTTTTGCTGCTCTCCTGCAGCATATAAAAGAGCTATCCCTTGGTGCGTGCATGTGCCTGGCGGCTAATTTGCTGCTGCTTCTTGCTCCACCTCTTCTTCTTCTGCTGCTTCCACATCTTCTTCTTCACATTGTTGTTGAGGTTATGTTTGGTATTCCATTGTTTGGAGGGGGCCAAAAGCGGGCCGTTGATTTGGTTTCTTGGTCAATCAAAATTCATCAATAAATTGCCAAAAGTTGCATAGCCTCGGGGGCTGCTTCTTCTTCCACTTGATACGCCGTGCTACAAACAATTGGCCGCAATTTTTGCGGCAGTTCATTGCGACTCGAATTAATTGCAGGCGCCTCGCAAATTTTTCGCTAGCTACTGGAATTTATGTACACATTTAACTCCGTCTACACACACATGCAAATAGTTAGCGGGGTGGGGTTTGAGGGTGTGGGCTCAGATTACACTCGATGGTGTGTGTGGTTTTTTGGTGGTGCTGTTGTTGTTGCTGTTGGGCGCGCGCAAATACATAAATTAAAGTGCAGGCGAATCGATCCGCGTAATACACCCCACCCAGAACCCAGAACACAGAACCCAAACCAAAACCCGAACCCCTGTTCCTGCATTTCACGCCCTCTTATCAGCGCCCAGAGCAATGCCCATATGTAAATATGTGAATGCCAGCGAGCAGCGGCAGAGCTGGAAGAGATTGCGCGCAGGGCTGCCATTTGGTCATGGCTGCTGCCAACAATTCTTTTAGCGGAAAAACCCAGCGTAAATTGTTGTTGCTAATCAATTCTGATACTCACTCCCTGTGTGTGTGTGTGTTTGTGTGGGTGTGTGTTTGGCTATTTAGTTAAGCTCGCTTAATGAATGCCACGCCAAATGCCAATTGGCATTTGTGTTGGGCGAATTACAACAAAATCAGTGATTTGCTTATCGATAAATGTATCGACATATTTTAGCAGACACTGCTTTTAGTTGTGTAACGCTCGATGCCCCCCTGAATCAGCAATAGATGTCATCGATAAGCTAACGAGAGCTCAGCAGTAGCCAGCCCTTACTGTAGCTTGAAATTGATTAATCGATAAATGTATCGATAGCTTGATAGTCGTGCAGTCGCCTTCAGCCAGTCCCTGCTGTATTTGCAGGGCATGCCACAGAATTATTCATGACTGTCGGCCGCCAATTGCTGCCATAAAAGTGACAACAACAACAACAACAACAACAGCAACAAGGAGAAGCTGAAGTAAATTAGACAAAGTGAACCACTGTGCACCACCCAAATGGAGTTCATGTGGTTAAGTTGGCGGCGCATTAAGCCAAAATTGATGGCCGGCATTCGATGGCCATAAAAGCGGCAACTGCCGAGCAAATTTATGAACTGCAAGTGCAAAAGTGCCATCAGTCAGCGGGCGGTGCGGGCCGTGGTCCGCGGTTGGGGGTTGGGTCTAGCTAATAAATGTTTGAGTCAGAGACACAATTCTAACGATTGCCAAAAAACTGAAATTTGCCTTTGCAGATTCCGACTCGACAGAGAACGATGCGGTCGCCGCGCAGGACATACTGACGTGCGGCGCGTGCCAGAAGACCTTCGCGCTGTCGGACATCGTCCGGTTCATACAGCACAAGGTGCTGCAGTGCAACAAGGAGAACTATGGCCAGTGCACCACACAGGCGCCCAGCATGGATCGCGATGCCGACGAGGGCCGCCCACTGAGCCTGGTCAATCGCCGTCCCTCAATATCGGCGCCCATCACAGGCCGCAAATCGGCCCCAGTTGCGGCGGCTCCGCCCAGCGCCACGGCTGCTGCGGCTGCAGCGGCAGCGGCGGCGGCAACGGCAGCGGCAACAGCTGCTGCTGCGGCGGCCGCTGTGGCCAGCAGCGCAGCGAGCGGCTCACGCATACACACACCGCCGCCAAGTCCAGCGGATCTGCTGGCCGATGGCGCCAGCAGCACGCCCAAGCGCCTGGTGGATGGTGAGTAGACTCTGCCTTCCCCCTCCCTGTCCGCCCTTTCCGGCTGTGGCTAACACGCGGTCTGTCTTCCACAGAGAACGACAATACGACGCCCAAGGCGGACAGCGATGCGCTGACCACAGCCAGCGGCACGCCCCTGGAGGCGCACAGTCCCAGCCGCGCACAGTCCAAGTCGGAGCAGCCACCCGAGCCGCATCTTGCTGAGGACTGCACGCTCGACGATGACAAGCCAAAGGTCAAGCAGGAGCCCTATGCCGATGACGAGCTGCCCCAAGACGTTGACGAACAGCAGCCCGACTTGGAGCAGCAGCAGCACCACCACCAACAGGAGGAGCAATCCCAGCTGGATGCCCAGCTGCTGTCCACGGCGGACGAGTGCCAACAGCCGCTGGCCAAGCGGCCCAAAATGGAGCTCGTCGATGCCGAGGCCAACACAGTGCATACAGGTGAGCAGCCGTACCCTTCCCCCATCGTGTCCCTCTCCCTCGTTTGCGTATTTTTTATTGTGCGCATATTTGAGTAATGAAAATTAAAAGCCAGAATCCAAATGGCCACCCACACTCCCCTCCAACTCCCCCAAAAGCGCGCCCGCTTAAGTGACCAGCGCTTAAAACAGGAAAAAAAAGGAAAGTCCAAAGATCAAACGAGGCGGCAAAAATGTGCGCAAACAATGTGTTTGATGTGCGTGTATGTGTGTGTGTGTATGTGTGTTTGTCAAAGGATATGCACTCGCGGCTGCTGTCCATAAGTCGCCGCTGATCGGGCCGCGGGGCAGCTGAGCGCGCGATAAGCTGCAGCTGCATTAACACACCCGCCCACCGCGCCCCGCCCCTTTTGACCAGCGCTTTGTTGTGCATAAAAAAACAGAAACGCAGAAGCAGAAGCAGAAGCAAAAGCAGGGCAAATGTGGCAGGACATGCAGCAAAATATGGGAACGTGGGCGACATCAAAGCGCAAACGGCTGATAAAACTGAAGTGCAGCAGGACCAAAAAGGACACTCGGACAACAGCAGCAGGGATCGGAAGGGAGGGGGGTAGGGGGCGAGCGAGGTAGAGCAGAAGCTTCGATTGTCACGCGGCGTTGTCCTTTGACTTTGACATTTTTCAATGCAAATGTGGACGATGAAGCTGATGAAAAGCCAAAGCCAAAGCCAAAGCGAAAGCGAAAAGACAGCAATAAAAACAATAGCAAGGAGCAAGCGGACAGGATGGGTAGCGGGGCGAAAGGGTAAAGGGTAAACCCAACAGGACGCAGAACAAAACAAAGGCTGTAGATGTATCTGAAGCTGAAGTCGAGCTGCCCTCGAGGGTAATTTCAAAGGCGGAAGCAAAGGAATGTGCGCACGAGGGGCAGGGTGGCAGCGGCAGAGGGGAGAGGCGGAGAGGTACAAACCACTTGAGTGGACAAAGCGCACAGGACACTCGAATATGAATATGAATGCGAATGCGAATGTGAATGTGAATGCGAACTGGACTTGACACACGCACAAAAGAGAACGTTAACGGAAAAAGCTTGAGAATAAAAGACAAAAGGGGCAAGGGCAAAAGGTTAGGCATAAGAGGTAGAAAGGGTTTCGGGGTAAGTTGACCATTGAGGCGGTCAGTTGGCTGACGAGTTGACCAGCACAGCAGCAGCCACGTGCCACGGCACAAGGTCAAAGGTGAGGTGCGGTGAACAGCGCGTGGCAGCTATTGACGGCGGCAATTGACAGGCGGCGTTCGAGTTGACCAAACTGATTGAGTGAGTGTTTGAATGAGTGCGAGCAGGTGCGCGTGTTAAGTGGCAATCATTTGCATAAACAAAGCGAATGCAGCACATGCAATACAATCATAAATAGAAAAGAAATTAACTTATAATAATAGCTTATGAAAACACTCATGAATACTTGTGAATACACTCATGAATAGTTTTAAATACACTGATAGGTACCCAAAATTGTATACCTTATTGCTAGCGTTTGCTAGCTAGTTTCACTTATGAAACTCCTCCTGTATTTACATGAATACAATCATGAATACACTCGTGAGTGCAGCTATGAACGGAATCTATTATTACATTCTTGCTGGCGCTTGCTAGCATTGTTACAATACACTCGTGAGTATACTCATTAATGCACTCACAGCTTTCAGCTGACATAGCATATTCACCTGCTGCACTCGCTCAGTGACTCAGTCAGTTAATCAGTCAATCAAAGCTTGACGCATGATGCGTGTCAGTCGCATTTGAATGCTATCACACACACACACACACACACACACACACACACACACACACACACACACACACACGCAAGCACGCACATACATTGTCGCAATTTAACCCTTGAACTTTGCGCTTTTGACACGAGCAACAAAAGCGACAGCAACAACAAAAGTCACCGACAACAAAGTTGTTTGACTCCTGACAATGCAAAACTGTCAGCACTTCAACGGCGGCAGCCGCAGATACAGATACATATACAAATACAGATACAGATACAGAAACGGATACGGCAGTGGATGCACAGATACAGCTACACAGCTGCAGATACATTTGTATCTGTATCTGTATCTGTATCTGTATACATATCTGTATCTGTCGCGTTAATTACGCATTGTTTTACAATTTTTTGCTACTCTTTTGCGCACTTTTTTCTTGCTCGCATTTGAAAGTTGTTGTTGCTGTTGCTGCCGTTGCTGCTGCTGCTGTTGTCCTCGCATCCAATTGTTGTCCATTTGGTAATTATAAATATGTAGCGACTGCTGCCATGGCTACCCCACACACACACACACACACACACACACACCTGACTGTGAAAAACTGTCAACAAATTGGGGAAAATGAAAATATTTGTTGCGATGCGCGCGATGTCACGACTTTTTTTTTATTTTTGGTACACGCTTTTTACGCTGTTGCCTGTCAGCCTGTGTGTGTGTGAGTGTGTGCCTCATGTTAATTATCAATTTGCTGGCGCACTTTCAAATGCGCAGCGTGTCGCGACCGCAGCAACAATGAAAAACCATCACGAGTCAGCTGAGTGGGTTGCTTGCAGAGGGTGGGGAGGAGCGCGGGCCTGAGGTCTGAGGTCAGCCAAAAGGACAACAGCGCTTGAACCCATTTTATCAATACACACAGCCACATATTCATTCATTCATTCATTCAGTATTCACCGCACTCGCATTCAATTATTGACTCATGCTGGCACTAAGCCAGGCATTAACGTTCTGGCCCCTTTTTAAAAATGGTAAAAGAAGAGTGTCACACCCCTTCCCCCCATTTCCCTCCCCCTCTCCCTCGCACAGCCACCTGGACGAGCGTTTCAATATCCAAATCAATGGCTAATGCGCTCGGCGCATGCAATTTCACGTCCACCCACAAAAAGGATTACGCGCGCGCCTTGCTTTGTGGCAGGAGCAGCAGTAGCAGCAGGATAAAAAGAAAGAAAGAATAGAAAAAAAGGATACACTAGCAAAGGCTTAAGCAAAGGTCGAGCCATGCAAATCGCCGCAGGAGCCCGCAGGACACTCGACAACGGCTGCCGCTGCCGCTGAGTTGGCAACATGCGGCAAAAAGCTGCAACAATTATCCCATTACTGTGCAACCCTTTTCTTGTGTGTGTGTTGGCTGCCCACCCGCTGACCCCCGTTCCCCCCGCCCCCTTGTTGAATGGCATTGCTCATACGCGTCGTTGTCCTGGCGCACTTCCTGGCTCCACTTTGCAGCAGGCGGTCAATTTGCCATTTCCTGGCGACTTGTCTCAGCTTTGCTTTGTTTTGTTTTGTTTTGCGCTCGCTTCCGTCTGAGCTGCTCTGAATGCAGTCACTCGAGATTGAGACGGAGCTGGAGCAGGAGCTGGACCTGGTGTCCTGACTCCCGCAGGACAATGCCAGCATGCGAGCAGCTGAAAGAGGCTGCCAAGTTCAGAGCGTGCCAGGCGCAGGCCAAAGACAGACCGACAGACCGGCAGACAGACAGACAGACAGGCAGCTAGAAGATACTCCTCTCCTGCTGCCAGGACATAAAGGATGCGAGCTTGGCGCGTGCGCAACGCGCGTCTGTGCACACAAAAAACGAACCCGAATTAAATGGAAGCAACCTCTTCGAGCAGTTGGCAAATGCCGCACGTTTTTCGACAACTTTTGCCTCGTTTTTTATGACAAGCGCGATGTGCCCAAAATGATAATGATCCATGATCCCGAACAACAACAACAGCAACAACAGGAGCAGCAGCAACTGCTGTCGGCAGAGGCAGCAGCCCGACGTGTTAAACCCTTTGCAACCCCTTAACCCCTAGCCCCTAACCCCTAACTAGTAAGGAGCGAGACCCGCTGAACCCTTTTGATGTACACAAATTATGTATCTGTCAGATTCATTTGCATTTCCTGCGGCCCGCATGGCGCAAGGATTTCAACGTTGCCCTGGCATTGATCGGCATTGTCCTTGCGCCGGGGTCGTGGCCAAATCATGTTCAGCACGCTCTCACCTTTCGGCAGGAAGTCGCGAAGAAGAAGCAGCGAGGCTGCAGCCGCGCGGAACGTCATAAAATTAAAAAATATATATATAAAAAAAATAGCTGGAAAAATATACGAAAAAGTAAACAAAAGAGAAAGCAAAAGTGTAGTTACTTGCGAGTGTGTGTGTGTGCGAGTGTGTGTGTGTGTGTGTGTGTGTGTGTGTGTGTGTGTGTGTGTGTGTGTGTGTGTGTGTAACTCCTGCTTTAACTGACGGGCTCGTGCGCGACATGCGTTTTCCTCAACATCCTTTTTGTCAATTCCAACTCCAGCTTCGACTCCAAACGCATTTTCATTTTACTTTTCTTTTCCATTTTCATTTTCATTTTCAATTCCTTTTTTTTTTTTTGCTCTTGCCTTTTTTTAAAGCGTCATTTAAATGCAAAGTGCGTTGCTCGAGCTGCCAGTTTTTCCACAGTTTTTCCTCTGCTGCTTTTCATTGCTGTTGTTCTCTTTCTCGTTGTTGTTGTTGTCGCTGAGGGTAGTTGGCTTCTAATAGTGGCATTAACACCTTGTTGCCCGCATGGCCAGCGCCAGCGTGGTGACATGTGTTGACCTGTGCAGCAGCTTTTCTTTGCGCTTCGATTAGCCCTGGACCACGTCTGCTATCTACGTGTTAATACTCTACCTCTGCCGAGCCGCTTGCCAGTTGCCTCCGCTTTGGCTAGACCTTAGAGACTTTGTCTGCAGCAGCATTAGATGCGGTGCAGTCAATAGTTAATCAAAGGTCTAGCGAAATATCAGGAATAGATGTTTTTTTAAAGTTTATTCAAATATTTGCCCAGCTTTTTTCAGCCTGCCTTCAATCTTTCACACTCTGCTGTCGCACATTTTCATAGCCTACTTTTGTGTGCTCGATTAGCTCAATCTTGCATTTTAATTTATTTTTGTTATTATTATATTTCATATTAAAGTTCCTCCTCGTCCCGCAGCCCCTTCTCGGCAGAGAGTGTATTCTCAAGTCGTTTTTCACTCTGCTCTTTGCCTTTAACACATATTTTATTATTATTGTAGTCTTTTTTTTTGTGGTTGTCTTCATTTCGTTTTTATTTTCGTGCCGTAGCAAATTTTCACATTTTCACATTTTTCATTTTAAAAATCGCATCTGTTGCGTTGTCCCCGGCCCGGCCGGGCCCGACCCCGGCCCCACCCCGGCCAATCAGCGCCCCAAGCGAACCCTCCTGCCGCAGTCGTCGATAGTTATGGCCACATGTGCGCCCGCTTGTAATTTCCGCCGCAGGACATGTGGGTGGTTTGGGTGGTTTTTGATTTTCATTTTCGGTTTACGGTTTTCGGTTTTTGGTTTTTGGTTTCCGTGGCAAATTAACAAACGTCGCGACAAACCGCACGGAAAATATCACAAGAAAAAAGTACAAAATAAAAAACGAAAACTATTACGATACAGGACGACGCGTGTGCGTGTGTGTGTGGGTGTGTGGATGTGCGTGTGTGAGGATGAGTTTGTGTATCATTTTGGCAATATCCTGCTGTAAGGGGCAGCTGTCTGTTTGAGGCACCTGCAGCTGTTGCGGCTGATGTTGCTGCCGTGCACGCCCATTTGTATGCAAAGCACGCTAGCAACATCACATTTGTGTGTGTGTGTGTGTGTGTGTGTGTGTGTGTGTGTGTGTATGTGTGTGTGTTGCACACAAAATCAATAAATAAATAAATTCGCCGCCGCAAATTTGCAGCAGCAAATATCTGCAGCATAACTCTCCCTCTCCCGCTTTGGGGCTCTGGCCTGGTATTTATTAATAATTAATAAGCCAAATTGCTGGTAGCCCCATTTCCTGCCAATTGACATATTTGACTGACAACATAGCTAAACACGAAACTCATCTCCCCTCGTCTCTCTCTCTGTTTCTCCCTCTTATTGCAGAGCCCAGCAATTACACCTGTTCGACCTGCAAGACCCGCTACACATCCGCCTGGCGGCTCATCCAGCACGTGCAGCACTCGCACGGCGTCAAGATCTACGTGGAGTCGGGCGGCGGTGGCGCCACCTTGACTGTGGCCACGCCCGCCGCCCTCAATGCAGCCGCATCGGCAGCGGCAGCGAACGCCAGCGTCAGCCCCAATCGCAGCCTCAGTCCATCAGCAGCCGCGGCAGCGGCAGCAGCGGCCGCAGCAGCAGCAGCAGCTGTTGGTGTGCCGCTGCCGTTGCACGCGCTGATGGCGCAGGCCGTCGCCTCGCAGTCGCAGTCGCCGGCGCCAAAGCGCAGCAGCAGCAACAGCAGCGCCGCCGCTGCCGCAGCAGCAGGAGGAGCTGCTTCAGCCAATACGAGCAGCAGCAGCAATGCGAGCAGCGGCAATTCGCCGACGCAACAACTGTTGCAGCAGCGCGCACAGCAGCAACAGCAGCAGCAGCAGCAACAACAACAGCAACAACAGCAACAGCAGCAACAGAATATGGCCACGGCCATGGCAGCGGGCATGCGTCATCATCCGCTGCTGGCACCTCCGGAGGCAATGCACGCGAATCCGTTCCAGCTGCTGCGCATGCCGCTGCCGCCCGCGCTGGCCCAGGGCAATGTAGTTCCTAGCGTGGCGCCGCTTTTCGGCAGACCCACGCCCGCCGATCACTATCGCATGGAGCAGCTGGTGAGCGAGCAGTTCCGGCATCATGGCTTCAATCTGGCCGCCGCCGCTGCCGCCGCCCAGGCCCAGTTCAATGCCAACACCCAGCAGCAGCAACAGCAGCAGCAGCAACCGATCCCTGGCGTTGCTGTCAACGTTCCTAGCGGCATCGAGCAGCGGCCGCCCTCGAGCAACAGCAGCCAGCGCGGCTCTGTGCCGCCCGCCGCGTTGCCGCCGCCTTCGCTCAGCTCACAGCAGCAACAGCAGCAACAACAGCAGCAGCAGCAACAGCAGCAGCAGCAACAGGCTGCTGCAGTGAGTCCAGCGGGAGCCGCATTGAATCTGGAACCGCAGCAGATGGATTTTTACTCGCAGCGATTGCGTCAGCTTGCGGGCACAACAAGCCCTGGAGCTGGCAACATTGTTAACTCGAGCTCGCCGAGTCCACGACAGAAGCAATCGCCGCGCTTTGCGAGCCCCTCGCCCAGCTCCGCGGCCAGCGTGCAGCTGGCTGCAACGCCGCGTCCCCATTCCCTGACGCCGCCCGAGCGGAGCACCGAGAATGGCGGCCAGCAGCAGCACAGCCAGCACGGCCAGCAGATGCCCAGCACCCCACGCTCGGCCAGCACGCCGCCGAGCAAGCAGCATGCCCCAGCCGCGGACTCGGAGCGCAACGAAGCGGAGGCAATGGAGCTGGCGAGCAGCTGCTTCGCGTGCGGCTACTGCGACAAGAAGTTCCGGTTCGAGAACAATCTGATCATCCACCAGCGGACGCACACCGGCGAGAAGCCGTACAAGTGCACCGCCTGTGACTTCGAGTGCTCCCACATCCAGAAGCTGATGAAGCACATGCGCGTCCATCGCAGCCCCGCCGAGGGCCACGACGGCGGCAGCAGCAGCAATGGCGGCGACAACAATCAGGATGGCCACGACGGCGGCAGTAATGCCGATTCGTTAGAGACAAACGAGGCGGACAACGACGATGATCCCAATCCGGATGAGTCCGACGACGAGCTCAACGAGGAGGACGTCGATGCGGATGCCGATGGTGATGGTGAGGGCGAGGACGATGATGAGGATGAGCTGGAGGACTGTGAGGACGTCGACTACGAGGCCGAGGATCTCAGTGTCAACAATCGCATCGATGGCAAGAGCCAAAGCCCCAAGACGACTAGCTCCGGCGCCACCTCGCTGGTGGGCGAGCTGATGGACAAATTCGGGCTCTCCAACATAGCCCAATACTCGGAGGCCTACAAGCAGGCCCTGCAGGAGTCCGGACGCAAGGAGGCCGCCGCTGTCGCCGCTGCCGCTGCAGCTGCCGCAGCCGTCGACAACAACAATCGCGGCTCCTCTGGACCCGGAGCCGGAGTCGGAGCCGGATCTGGTGCTGGTGGACCCGGGGGCCCTGGTGGCGCTGGCCCCGCCGGCGCGGACAAGCTGAACGGCTTGCCGGTGGCGGCGCTGCGTCTGCGCGACGAGTTTGCCAAGAACTGCAACATGTTCCAGCCGCAGCCGCAGGATGGGGCCGGCCAGGTGCCCCTCTTCAATCCGTTTCCCAATCCCTTCGAGCTGTCCAAGCGCATGAAAATGGACGGCGGCGACTGGTGGGGCATGTCCGCGCTCCATCGCAACGAGGCACTCTTCGAGAACCTGAAGCTGAAGCCGCTGGGCCTAGGCGGCGCCAACTCGCTGCTGCAGGGGCCGCTGCTGAAGAAGGAATCGCGACAGCGCAACGACACCTGCGAGTTCTGCGGCAAGGTGTTCAAGAACTGCTCCAACCTGACCGTGCATCGGCGCAGCCACACCGGCGAGAAGCCGTACAAGTGCGAGCTGTGCTCCTACGCCTGCGCCCAGAGCTCCAAGCTAACCCGCCACATGAAGACGCACGGCCGCACCGGCAAGGATGTCTATCGCTGTCGCTTCTGCGACATGCCCTTCAGCGTGCCCTCCACCCTCGAGAAGCATATGCGCAAGTGTGTGGTCAATCAGGGCAAAGCGGCAGCCGCTGCCGCCAACGCGGCCAATGCCGTAGCCGCTGCCCAGGCCGCCGCCGCGGCCCAGCAGCTCCAGGCGGCGGCCGCCCAAGCCCAACACCAGCAGCAGCAGCAGCAACAGCAACAGCAGCAGCAGCAGCAACAGTTGCCCACGCAATCGCAATTGTCGCCACCTTGCCCCATGGGCGTGGCTGTGGGCTTTCCACCGCAGTTCGGCGTCGCCGGCGGCCACAATCTGTCGCTGGCGGGCAGCGTGAGCGGCGATAACGATTCGAATGCATCCTCCAGCCTACCCGCGCACTCCATTTCGCTCAAGGAGGAGGCATGACTTTTTAGCAGCTGGAGCAGCAGCGCCCAACCGCCGCCGCCGGCAGCGACACATGGTCTGCCGCCCCCCGTTCCACATGTGCTGCAGCCGCATCCACACGCGCTGCTGCCACCGCCTGGACATCCGCATCATCATTCGCATTCGCAGTTGGCCGCCAGCAGCCGCAGCCGCCTCATGTCGCGCATCTTCTAAAGATGCCAAACCCCCACGCCCCTCGTCCCTGTGTATATATCAGTTATCGCACGGTTATGATACAGCCACCCGACACCCGACACCCGCCCCCCGCCCGTCTACTACCCTCACAGCAACTTTCTAAAAGATTGCGCCGCGAACTTCTGCAGCAGTTGTTGCCTCTCCCAGCCACAGCCACACCCCCGCCCCCGCCCCCCGACATCAGCTGCTCCTTGAAGGCGACTTAAACACGACCAGAGGCATTTAATACCAAAGCAATAACCGTTATGTAATATAATTTTAAACAATTTTTTTTCCAATTTTTTTTTTTTTTTTTTAATAAGATATATATATATACATAACATATATCATACGTGTTGTATTTAAAATGATTTTTCACAATTATGCATATTTTTTTTAATATTTTTAAAATAGTTTATACGAAGCACAAAAGAAAAAACATTAAGTATATATATATGTATATACTTATAATATATATATATATATATATATTAGAAATGTAAACAATGCTTGGCAGGAGCCGCAGCCACAGCTGCGCCAGTGACACAATTTCCAGTGTATTTCTAGCGGATAAGAGTTAATAATACTTTGTAAAAAGGCAAAACTAACAACTACAAAAAATACTATAAAAGAAAACCTAAAAAAAAATACTACAAAACCAACTAAAAGTAAATATAAAAAAATATATATATAAAAAGCAAACTCTGCGCTAAAGTTTAACACACATTTGCACATGTGTATGATCCATATATATATACATATATATGTATATATATAGTACAGATATATCTCCTCTTTTTTGTGTGTTTTTTAAGATCGCGTATTTGTTAAACATCGATGTACATTTTAGTAAATCTAGACATTTAGGCACTAAAGCGCAAAACTTGTATAAAAGAAAACTTATCAACTATAATTAATATATATTACCATATATTATATGTATGCATATATCAATATATATTTATATATATATATATATATATATGCATATATATAATATATATATATATATCTTTTTTTTATATCATTTCGAGACATTTTTTGCATAGAAAATAATTCTATTATTAAATGTAATTAAAAAAAAAATGAAAAAACAACAAAAAACAAAACCGAAAGTAATCAAATTTTTTACTTACATACATAAATAAATCTATAAATGTAAACACAATTTTTTTTTAACAATTAGCTTAAGAATTGAAGAAAATGCAAATTAAAAAAAAAGAAAGAGAAAAACAAAAATTGTAGAGCAGCAAATTTGGCAGCAGTTGAGCATTAGAAAAGGCAGGCAACATATGAAAAGAGGGGTGAAAAGTCATGAAATTTGTACGTAAAACTTCAAGCGAAAAGCAATTAACAATTATAGAAACAAAAACAAAAAAACAACAACCGAAACAACAAAAACAACAAACAAATAACTAGATTTAGAAGACTGAGGAACTAACGTATTTGTATTTATTTTCTTTGCCTATAAAAAAGACAAAAGAACGATGCGTATTGAGAGTGAGATAGTGGAAGAGAGAGAGGGGGAGAGAGACACAGGGGAAGAGGGAGGGTACCCAATACGAGAAATGAACCAATTTTTTTTGCCTAAATGTTTTTGCTGTTGATTTTCGTTATTTGATTGATAAAAAGAAAAACTTTTGAAAAACAAAAAAAAAACTCCATTTTGATTAATATTTAATAATTGTTTTTAGTACAAATTTTTTTGGCGAGCAAAATTCAAATTGAAGTTGAAAAAGCAGAAAAAAGAAAAAAAAATTAGTTAACTTTGTTTTTTTTTTTCTTTTCTTTGTTTTTTGTTTAGTTCTGGTTTCTAATTTACCAAAAAAAAAGTTAAGAATTGCTTCTACTATTGCAGCCCACACACACACACACACACACACACACACACACATACACACACACATACACATACATACATTCATACATACACACACACCGCTAAAATAAACACCCCCTCACCCAACAACAGTGGCTGCTGCAATAATACAAACAATTTTGTATGTAAAGCCAACTATGAAGTTTATCGTGCATAATTTATTTGAGAGAGCGAGAAAGGAAAAAGCTAGCGAGAGCGAGAGCGGGAGAGAGAGAGAGAGAGAGCGTAGTAAGAAAAGGTTTTTGAAATGAAATTCTTAAAACTGAGCAAAATGCATTGTGTTTCAGACAAGACATACATATATATATATATATAGATAGTATATATACATCTATATACCTATATATAGTTAATATATATAAAATCAAGAAAAACTGAATAAAAAAGCAAATACTATAAAAATCATACAACATTTATGTTTTATTTAAACTCAACTGATTAAACCCTATTTGATTTATTATCCTATTATTTTTATTATTTGTTTTTTATTTAACAGCAACACAAACGGAGCAACAAGAAAGTGAAAACGAACTTCACAAGAAAAAAAAAACCGCTGCATATATATATATATAAAAAAAAACAGCCCAGCAAACTAAAAACCTATCATAACACATTAGAAAATTTAATTGTAGCTATTTAAACAAAAATGAAAACTCAAGAAATTTATACTAAAAATAATAACAAAGCGAAGCACAAGAAATACACTTTAAAACTCAAAGAAACGACAAATGCGTAAAATGTGCAACTAAAAAAATTGATAAGTAAAATTTCAAGCAAAAAAAAAAAACAACAAAAAAACAAAATATTTTTCAAGTGTGTGTAATTTTTTGAACATAAACAATAATAAATACAAAGCGTAAATTAATAATTAAAAATAGTTGTCTGTGTTACAAAATACAAATACAAAAATACATACAAATTACAAAAATTGTAAAAAAAATAAAACTCAGCATTTTTGTATTTACCCAATGATCGCGTGCTATAAAATTTATGGCAGCGCACAAAGGTAGGCAACATAAAATTATTAAACGATCGCGAATTACCATAAACAACATTTGTTGCATAGTTTGCAGCGCGCGCTGTTAGCCGACAGATGTCGCCACGCGTGCGAGCCGAAGCAAGCGCACGAAATGCAAATCCCGCACACACACACACAAATACACAGGCAAAGACACTTCACACATGTCGCCTACCCACATATGCGTGCTTGGTGAGAGCGAACGAGTAAGCGAGCGAGCAAGAGAGAGCGTGTGTCCATACATGTACTGCCGCTGCCCAGTGGGCCCCCATTGGCCGCTGGCCATACAAACGCCCGTAGCCGGACCCATGCCGCCACATTCCCTCCAGAGTCACACATCGCTCTTAGCTCGACCAACAGTGACCAATCCAACATAACTGGCCGCCCAATTGGCAGGGCGGAAACTTCAATTCGAATTGGAATCTAACGACTGCTAGACGCTCGAACACATGTGGCCGGCGCATGTGTGAGCCAGCCAAAAGCCAACGCAAAGTCAAAGCTGGCGCCAACGCCCGCAGCGCTGCTAACGTCGCTGCCCAAGCTAGCGTAGTCAACCACCCGCCCATGCCCAAGGCAGCGAGTAGCTTGTGGCCGGCTCGAACTTGTTCGCACAACGGAGCGTCGAACATGTTCGCTTCCTTCGGTCTGTTTCGAGTTGAGTGTTATGTCGTTTTGGAACGTCATATTTCCGCGCGGAGTTATGTCGTTTTGGAACGTCATATCTCCGCGCGGAGTTATGTCGTTTTGGAACGTCATATCTCCGATTGGAGTTATGTCGTTTTGGAACGTCATATCTCCGCTTGGAGTTATGTCGTTTTGGAACGTCATATCTCCGCTTAGAGTTATGTCGTTTTGGAACGTCATATCTCCGCTTGGAGTTATGTCGTTTTGGAACGTCATATCTCCGCGCGGAGTTATGTCGTTTTGGAACGTCATATCTCCGCTTGGAGTTATGTCGTTTTGGAACGTCATATCTCCGCGCGGAGTTATGTCGTTTTGGAACATCATATCTTCGCGCGGAGCTATTACACGAGAGCTATTACCCGAGAGCTATTACCCGAGAGCTATTACCCGATAGCTATTACCCGGGGTAGGTTCGAATATCAAAACTTTTTTGAATATTTTATTGAAAATCTTGGTTATAAATATTATACCTTTTTGAATTCGTACGGATCCCTACTATCATATGGCATTCAAAGAAATTAAAAATTGATTGGTTGGATAAAGTTGTTGACCAAAAAACGTTTCGCTTGCAAAGTCCACCTTTTTTGGAGCATCTCAAGTGAGAATCATTTAATTATGCTAAACGAAGTACTGTCCCAATCGAGCTCTCTCCACTGGATTTTTTCAAGCCATATAAATAGGTAGCTTTATCTAACTCAATATACTTACTTTGCATACCCAAGCCATTTGCATGAACATAATATTAAACAAGTAAGAGGTTCTAGTCGGGAGCTCCCTTCCCTTCTTCTAACATCAAATGCATATATATATATTCTATTTTATAAGCTATATGTCAAGTTTGGTGACTCTAGCTCTTATTATTTACCAAAATTGCCCAAAAAACAGGATATCGATATCGATTTTTATCGATTTCTTGGAACGGAGTAAGTTATCGATTTTCGGATGTTAGGTCTTTAGCTCTTATAGGTTCTGAGATCCTTGCGTTCATACATACGGACGGACGGACGGACAGACAAACGGACATGGCTAGATCGACTCGGCTATTGATGCTGATCAAGAATATATATACTTTATGGGGTCGGAGAAGCTTCCTTCTGCCTGTTACATACATTTGGATTTTGCACAAATACAATATACCCTTATACCCATTTTTAATGGGTTCAGGGTATGAAAATATGGGGTCCAATTGAAGAACTGTCCGATGTAGATTGCCTAATGCACGGAGGATAAAGATAGGAGTATCAAATATAGATGAATAAATAGTTGATAGTTGATTACTTAACACTCATATGAAATCTAGTTATTACGATATGAACATATAATATGGCTTAATAGGAAATACACAAAAATTAATGAAAAACTTAAAGGAATCAAAATGAAAATCAAAGACTTATAAAAGAAGAATTGGC